AAAATGTGTTTCGCTAGACTCGCAGAGGAATCATCCGCACCCACATCTTTACCACAGATTTCCGCAGTGAGGTCGACGTCTCCATACGCCAAGGTACGTTATCCACCTCTCTGCTCCCCATTTCGGAGCTGCAGGAGCCAAGCACCAAGCAAGCAAGCAACCAAGAGGCCGATGGATGGATGGGTGGATGGATGATGGATGCCTTCAGTGTAAGGTAGCCATGACCCATGGCAACTTGGGAAGTATCCGTACGAATAGAGGAGGGGAAGGGAGGGAGGGACGAGGGGCGACATTGCGTTCAGTGGGAGTGCCCGCCGCCCGCCTCCATGAAATCTGTATGTATGGTACGAAGTACTTTGTATTCGCACTCCGTACCTGGGCCTGGCAGACGGCGTGGACGTGGCCATGGTCGTGGTTATGGACGACGGGGGGGGGGGGGAGAACATGGGCATGGATGGATGGATGGACGGATGGATGGGCTGGGCGTGTGGGCGTGAGCGTGAGCGCCCACGGGTGGTGAAGCGTGAGAAAGATGGAAGAAGCGTGGGTGTGGCACCGTGGGTATCGGCTCCAGCTAAAGGGACGCTAGCCAAGTTGCTTTTTCAGATGAGATGGGCTGGCTTGTTCTCCATCCGTGCCCCGTCTTTCACCCCGGCAGCAGCATGCACCCTAATGAGACACCCATCCACACCCCTGGTCCCCATCGTCTCGTTTCGCTCGCTATGGATCAGCTCTGCCGCACCCCGTGCCGTCGCCAAAGTAAAAGAAAAGGAACGGAAGGGTAAAAAAGTACGTACTTTCCGAGGGTTAGGTGAGTTTGCGAGAGTGATGGAACCTATTCTCGCAGCCTCCCAACTTCCCTCTCACCTTCTTTTCCAATTCCCCAACTTCGCCCTGAGCTACAACGGGGGCGCTTCGATCCATCGCTGTCGGGTCTCGCATCCCTTCTTTACTCACAAAACATCATCATTGTCTTGTCTTGAGCGCTTTCTGCGCCCTTGCCCCATCACCCTCATCATCATCCTCTTCTTGTTTGGCTTTTCTGTAGCTTTTTGGCGTGTCGCCGCTCCAGACTTTCTCGCCCAGCCTCCCGTTGACCGGTTGCACGTCGAACCTCAATCCGTTCGATTCGTCGCAACAACTGAGCCCGCGCCCTTGGAAGCCGCGAGCTGTTCCTCAACCACCACAGACAAGACCAAAGACTGTATGGCCTCGCGCTTTTAGTCTTTAATCTTTCTCCAAGTAAAACTACCTTTTATAATTGCGACGTCGTTGCTGGTAGAATCTAGCGCCTCTTTGCGCGATCGTCAAGACAATCCATCGACGCATTCACAGGAGCACGCGCACACCTAGTACGCCTCGACTCCCAACACAATGGCGAACCATCACCCTTCGCCAACCATGGCCATGCAGGGGCAGCAGCACGGCGGCCCCCCTGGACCCCCTCCGCCGCCGGGCATGCAGCAAGGGCAGAACTATGCACCTTCGCGACAAATCCTCCTCATGAACGAAGCTGTCTGGATGCAGATTGGTAGGTGCATCGCGATCGTTGATACGCGCAGCTCGTTCTAACAATTGATGCAGGCAGTTTTGCTGAGCTTCTTGGTAACCTCGAGGAGGCAATGAAGGCCTACGATCGCGCCCTCCAAGCCAACCCGCAGTCGGTCGCGGCCATGAATGCCATCAGTTTGATCCTGCGAACGCGCGAAGAGTTTCACAAGGCAGTTGACTACCTGCAAGCAATACTCAAAATCGACAATACCAACGGCGAGGCCTGGGGCAGCCTGGGTGCGTAACAAGTCCCCGCCCTATGCTCAACCAACGCGACTCGTGCTAACTGCTCACAGGTCACTGCTACCTTATGATGGACGACTTGCAGCAAGCCTACGCCGCATATCAGTCCGCCTTGGTCAACTTGAGGAGCCCCAGGGTTAGTAGCGCTGCCTCCGGCTCTCTGGGTTCTTCAAATACTAATACAGCACAGGAGCCCAAGCTATGGTATGGCATTGGTATCCTTTACGACAGATACGGCTCTCTTGAGCATGCCGAAGAGGCCTTTTCTCAGGTTATGCAAATGCAGCCCGACTTCGAAAAGGCCAACGAAATTTACTTCCGTCTCGGAATAATATACAAGCAACAGCAGAAGTACGGCCAGAGTCTAGAGTGCTTCAAGTACATCGTCAACTCCCCACCCCCTCCTCTCACCGAGGAGGACATCTGGTTCCAAATTGGCCACGTTCACGAGCAGCAGAAGGATGTAAGTATCTCCTCGTCGGCAATTGACAAATACCGCAACTAACGCCCGCATCAGTACGACAGTGCCAAGGCTGCGTACCAGAGAGTTCTGGAACGCGATCCTAGTCACGCAAAGGTTCTGCAACAGCTAGGCTGGCTTCATCATCAGCAGAGCAGCAGCTTCCAGAGCCAAGAGCGAGCTATCGAGTTCTTGGAGAAGTCCGTTGCCGCCGACCAAGGCGACGCGCAAAGCTGGTACCTTCTTGGTCGGTGCTACATGTCTCAACAAAAGTATCCCAAGGCATACGAAGCCTACCAACAGGCCGTCTACCGCGATGGAAGGAATCCGACTTTCTGGTGCTCTATCGGAGTACTGTACTACCAGATCAACCAATATCGCGATGCCCTCGACGCGTACTCTCGTGCCATCCGGCTCAACCCCTTCATTTCCGAGGTCTGGTATGACTTGGGCACATTGGTAAGTGCAAAACCTATCAAGATCGAACAGCTTGGGAAAAAAGAAAAAAAGGCAACGTTACTGACCGACTTAGTACGAATCTTGCAACAACCAGATCAGCGATGCGCTTGACGCCTACCAGCGCGCTGCAGAGCTTGACCCTCAGAACCCCCACATCAAGGCTCGTCTGCAGTTGCTGAGAAACGGTGGCGCCAACGGAGGACAGCCTCCCAGCGCTCCCCAGCCTGCCGATGTCCATCCCCAGGCTTACCAGGTCGGCCCTCCGGCTCCCCAGTGGGGAAGCTCTGCTCCTCAGTCGCAGCAGCAAGGACAGCAGCCTCCTCCGCCTCCGGGACCCGGCGGTCCTGGAAGCAACGGCTGGGGTCGGCTTGCGGACATCAACCCTCCTCCTCAGCCACCCAACCCGTATGAGCAGCGTGGCGAGTTCCGTGGCCCAGCTCCCCCCATGCCGCGACAGCCTAGCCCGAGACAGGAGCAGCAGCAGCAACAACAACAGCAGCAGCAGCAACAACATGGTGGTCGCCCGCCGTATCCCGAGCCGCTTCGTCGGATGGCTAGCCCGCCATCTCACTACGCAGGACCGCCGCAGCCGCCTCAGCAGCAACAGCAGCCTCAGGGTCCTCCCACGTCTGCGCCGCGCACCATCAACCCCAACTACACTCAGCCGTCTTCTGCTCAGATGCCTCCTATGAACGTCGGCCCCAATGGCCCTCCTAGCCAGCCGCCTCACTTCCGCGGCACCAACAGTCCCCGGCCTGGCGAGAGGCCCATGCATGACAACCGCATGCCCTCCCCCAAGTCGGCGTACCCCCAACACCAACCTCCTCCGCCACCGCCGTACAGCCATCACCCTGACGGCCCCACCCCCGGACCCATGGAGGCTAATGCCCCGCCTCCACCTCCTCCGGGCTCGATCACCGGAGACCCTGCATCGCAGCGCAATGAGCATGACCGTCCTCCTTCTGTGGGCCCCAAGCGCATGCGTGAGTGGGAGGAGGAGTCCTCTCACAAGCGACCGGCCAACGACGAGAACCGAGCCAGGCTCGACGACGTTCGCCCTCGCCGCCCGTCGACTCCTCCGGGACCCCGGGACCAGTACCGCCGCAACTCGTCAGAGGCACGCCGTTTTGAGGATCAACGCCGTGCCGAAGACCAGCGGAGAGCGGATGACCAGAGAAGGGCAGAGGACATTCGGAGGGGCGAGGAGCAGCGCCATGCCAACGACGGGTACCATCCGTCAGAGGCCGCGCACCACCAACCCAACCACCCTATGCCCAACAACCATCTCCCGCCGATGCAGTCTGCTGCTGCGCCGATGCAGAACATCCTCCATGACGGACCGCAGAACGGACCCGGGCCTGCTTCCGGGCCCGCTCCCGGCGTCAAGGAGTACCCCGCTGAAGAGCGCCCGCCCCTTGAGCACACCCCTGCTCCCCGGCCTCCGCAGCCCAGCGAGCCCGAACGTGCAGCGAGAAAGATGGACGTTGATGAGGACTACGACGATAGCGGTGAGGATGAGAAAAAGGGCGCCGCCGCCACTACCAACGGGTCGGGCCCGGCTCCGGCGTCGGGAGAGACTAAGACGCCTACGAGCGCAAGCATCAACGGCCTGATGGGGCCAACTCCCAAGGTTGAGTCGACTTAATGGATCAACGGCTTTGACGTGGTTTGCTTTGTTTTATTTGTCTTGAGGGATCCTGTGTTCTCTTATCGTGTATACCATTTCCTTCCTGTTCCTCGTTCTATCTCCAGAATCCCCTTTCAACGGGATGCTGGTGTGTCTACCTGAGGCACTACGGTAGCTTATGAAGAGAAAAAGTAGTGGTGAATCTAGACTGCTTGAATGACTAAACAATATTAAACCATATTTGGCTTCACCTGTCCAGACCAATCGACCCCTTACAGGGGCGAACGAACGTGTACTCTCAGGAAAGTTCTGCATCGTGCAAATGGCAGAGACTTCAAGTGTTTGGCGTGCTCCTTGGTGGGATGCAATCCAGTCCTCAGGTACGTACCTTCTCTCTACACAGTACACCTCCACTGATGGAAGATTCAGGCTGATTGTGGACCTCGGAAAAGACGCTTGGACCAGGCGGGAGGGAAAAGTGCGGAAAGTGATTTTTTTTCGTCGCTATTGCGCTCACGTGATTAGGGTGGTGCGTCCCGGCAGGAGGAAATCCGCCCACACGACATTTTTGCAGCCTCAGCTATCCCGACTTTGAGAAATTTCCCAATCGTCACTCCTCTCGATTGAACCCGACAACTAACCTCCAGGTCAATCATCAAGATGTCGCACCGCAAGTACGAGGCACCCAGACACGGCGTCAGTTACACCTATTTCGACAATTACTATAACTTCGGCTAACGTTACTCAGTCTTTGGCCTACCTGCCGCGCAAGCGTGCTGCCCGTCACCGCGGAAAGGTCAAGTCGTAAGTTTTATTCACCACTTTCCGCAATATTTTTTTCGAGACTTGGGCCAAGTGAAGACAGAGGCTGACAATGGCAATTTCTTGCACAGCTTCCCCAAGGATGATGCCAAGAAGCCCGTCCACCTGACGGCCACCATGGGCTACAAGGCCGGTATGACCACGATCGTTCGCGACCTCGACCGTCCCGGTGCCAAGGCCAACAAGAAGGAGGTCGTCGAGGCCGTCTCCATCATTGATACCCCACCTGTACTACCAACGCAGCCCGCTTGGCTCTGTGCCTATGGCTAACAACTCTATAGTTGATCGTTGTTGGTCTTGTGGGCTACATCGAGACCCCCCGCGGCCTGCGCTCGCTCACCACCGTCTGGGCTGAGCACTTGAGCGACGAGATCCGCCGCCGCTTCTACAAGAACTGGTACAAGTCCAAGAAGAAGGCCTTCACCAAGTACGCCAAGCAGCACTCCGAGAACTCTGGCGCCTCCATCACCCGCGAGATCGAGCGCATCAAGAAGTACTGCACCGTCGTCCGCGTCCTCGCCCACACCCAGCCCCGCAAGACCCCCATCAAGCAGAAGAAGGCCCACCTCATGGAGATCCAGATCAACGGTGGCTCCGTCGCCGACAAGGTCGACTTCGGCTACGGTCTGTTCGAGAAGCCCGTCGAGGTTGGCTCCATCTTCGAGCAGGACGAGATGATCGATGTCATCGCCGTCACCAAGGGTCACGGATTCGAGGGTGTCACCGCCCGTTGGGGTACCAAGAAGCTTCCCCGCAAGACTCACAAGGGTCTGCGTAAGGTCGCCTGTATCGGTGCCTGGCATCCTTCCCACGTCCAGTGGACTGTCGCCCGTGCCGGTCAGAACGGATACCACCACCGTACTTCCGTCAACCACAAGGTCTACCGCATTGGCAAGGCCGGTTCCGACAACAGCGCCTCCACTGAGATCGATGTCACCAAGAAGACCATCACTCCGTACGTTTCTGCTCTAACGTGTTGATTTCATAGCAATGTTACTGACATTTTTCAGCCTCGGTGGCTTCGTCCGCTACGGTGAGATCAACAACGACTTCGTCATGGTCAAGGGCTCCATTCCCGGTACCAAGAAGCGTGTCATGACTCTCCGCAAGTCCATGTTCACCCACACCTCGAGAAAGGCCCTCGAGAAGATCGACCTCAAGTGGATCGATACCTCGTCCGAGTTCGGACACGGCGCCTTCCAGACGCCGGCGGAGAAGAAGCAGTACCAGGGTACCCTCAAGAAGGACCTTGCTGCTCAGTAAATTCCTTCTCATCAAATTTCTTTGTATCATGGTCATGGCATCGGTGTAGAGGGTTCACGTTACTTTTCGGATGGTTTGGGACACCTTTGAGGTTAAAATGAGTGCCGAGAATTCAAAAGTCAAACCAATGATACCTAGATGACCAACCCACTTGTAATCCCTCGTGTGGCTTGTGAAATGTGATTGCAATTGTACTCAACTTGGAAGACAATTGATAAGTAGAAGCTGTAGCAACAGCTGCAGTGCGGAGTACAAAATACGTTCAAAAATGTGGGCGCTTAGTATCGACAGCCAGCCAATACCAAGATGGTGGGGCGGCAAGGTCTGACCAGCGGGAGCGACGTGAGGCGTAGCTAGCCGGCCCCTCGTTGCGTCATTCTATCTGTACCCAACCATGGCGTGCAGCTTCCCGCGAACCAAGTTCGCGACCTTAACACCCCTCAGTACGCTATTCAGCTCGTCCGCAACCCATAAGAAGGGAATGAAGACCACTACCCCGCGAACGCTCTATCGAAATCTCTGCCAACGAACCCTCTCCTCATCGACGTTAATCTCCATCCCGCGCAACCCATTCGTACTACGACGGCTGAGTACTGCGCCAGGCAGCTGCAGCACGAGCAAGGTTCTCCCGCCTCGTCAGATAGCCACCAGCACGTTCTCGACGTATACACACTTGAAAATGTCCGACGCAGACTACGCGGCGTTCCTGGACAAGGCGAACCAGGACCCCAACGAGGGACACGCCACCACGACCAGCGAGAGCAAGGAGTTCAAGGCGCAAGACAAGGGCGTCGAGGTGCCCAAGGCCATTCAGGACGTGTTGAAGCAGGATAAAGTGTACATCTCGGACGCGGATGAGCCGTTCGTCGGCGTCGCGCTGCAGTGGGATGAGGCTGGCAAAGGTTTGCCGGACGAAGGTGAGTTGTGCCGTGCCTGCTGCCTCCTGCCTCCTGCCCTTTTCACGCCAGGGGAGGGAAAATATGCCTGCGATGTTTGCAAGACAAAGTGACTAATATGTGACATGTGTAGTCGAATTCGCGCAACTTATCGATCACCCCGACGCCGAGAACGCAGACGTGGAGCTCCTGGACCCCGTGGACTGGGACTCGAACGGCGATTACAAGGACGTCATTGAGGCGGTCCGCAAGGCGGGCAAGGGCAACGACGTTAGAGTTTACAAGGTGCCAAAGGGCGGTGTCCGGACGGAGTACTGGCTCGTCACGACGGATGGGAAGGGCAAGGAGGCGAAGCTCGTGGGCGTCAAGGCGCTGTCTGTCGAGAGCTGAAAACTTCTCTTCCGGCCAGGTACCATCAGAGAAAACGCGAGGAAATGTAAGGCGGGACGGGAAGAAATGGGGCAGCCGGTCAGCTTGGTCCTCTAATGGTTTGATGAATGGTGACTGATTTATATGTAGCAAAAACGCAGCTCATGTTTGTACAGCAATAAGGTATCATCAATTATAGCTGAATTCTCGCCTGCAAAGGCGTGTCTTCTTTCTGACCGAACTCATTTACCATACCTTACCGGGGATACGTGAGCTGTCTTGACTCTCTTACTCATTCAGGTCATCGATCTAGACCAGATTGGCGGAGCAATGGGCTGGCGGTGGGGTCCCGTTGTGTCACTGATCCTTGACGCACACGCAGCGGAGGTGCCACTAATGGCAACGCCTTGTCTCTCACCTTATCGAAGCGCAACGGCAGCCAAATTCCGCGTTATCGGACCCTACCACCCTGCCTGGACTATGTGTGACCCCTCCACGCATCGGAGGCTAAATAATTCAATACAAGTCCAATCTTTTGGATGCTGGTGACTCAGATCAACAAACCAAACACACCAACTTGCTCTCCACGCAGCGACTCACCGACATATTCCCAGCTTCGCCAACGGACCGGATCAGAATGTCGGGACCGGTAAGTCTTGCCAGTTCTTCAATTGACCTCCCGCCGGCCTGCTACAAGAAGTCAAAAGACACACAAAAGCTAACAATACCGCCTCACAGCGCGCAGTCGTACCGTCCCTCGAGACGGTCAGGTCCATCCTCACCTCCCCGGCCACGACCAACGCCGCAAAGAAGCCCACGCTCGTCCCCGTCTACCGCCAAATCTCCTCCGACCTCATCACCCCGTCCGCCGCCTACCTCAAGGTCTCGGCCCACCACAAGGATTCGGACTTATCCTTCCTATTCGAGAGCGCCGCCACAGAACAAGTCGGCCGCTACAGTTTCGTCGGCGCCGGGCCCCGCAAAGTCCTCGCCACGGGTCCCGGCCATGGCCCTGAGTGCGACCCCCTGCCGGCCCTCGAGGCCGAGCTGGCACAGCACGTAGTCGCCCACGTTCCGGGCTTGCAGCTCCCGCCCATGGCCGGCGGCGCCGTCGGCTACGTGGGCTACGACTGCGTGCGCTACTTTGAGCCCAAGACGGCGCGGCCCATGAAGGACGTCCTGCAGATCCCCGAGTCTCTGTTCATGCTCTTTGATACCATTGTCGCGTTTGACCGCTTCTACGGCGTCCTCAAGGTCATCACCTACCTCCACGTCCCCGAGGACGCGGCCCAGCTCGAGGCCGAGTACCAAAAGGCGACGCAGACCATTGACGAGCTCGTCGCCGTCCTCAACAGCCCCGACATCCCCATCCCCGAACAGCAGCCCATCAAGCTCGGCCAGGAGTACACCTCCAACGTCGGCCAGCAGGGCTACGAGTTCCACGTCACGGAGCTCAAGAAGCACATCGTAAAGGGCGACATCATCCAGGCCGTCCCCTCGCAGCGCTTCGCCCGCCCGACCACCCTCCACCCCTTCAACATCTACCGCCACCTCCGGACGGTGAACCCTTCCCCCTACCTGTTCTACGTAAACTGCAAAGACTTCCAAATCGTCGGCGCCTCCCCCGAACTCCTCGTCAAATCCGAGGCCGGGCGCGTCATCACCCACCCCATCGCCGGCACCGTGAAACGCGGCAAGACGCCCGAGGAAGACCAGCGCCTCGCCGACGAGCTGCGCAGCTCCCTCAAAGACCGCGCCGAGCACGTCATGCTCGTCGACCTGGCGCGCAACGACGTCAACCGCGTCGGTGACCCCTACACGGTGCGCGTGGACCACCTCATGGTCGTCGAAAAGTTCAGCCACGTCCAGCACCTCGTCTCGCAGGTCTCGGGCGTGCTGCGGGCCGGGCAGACGCGCTTCGACGCCTTTCGGAGCATTTTCCCCGCGGGCACGGTGTCGGGTGCCCCCAAGGTGCGCGCCATGGAGCTGATTGCCGAGCTCGAGAAGGAGAAGAGGGGGATTTATGCGGGCGCGGTCGGGTATTTCGGGTACGGGGGCGTTGATGAGAAGGGCGAGGAGGTGGAGGGTGCTATGGACACGTGCATTGCGTTGCGGACGATGCTCGTCAAGGATGGTGTGGCGTATTTGCAAGCTGGTGAGTTGCTGCTCCCCCTATCCCGACCCCCTATCCAGTGTTTTCTTGAAGTCTTTTTTTGGGTGGTGAGATATTTCGTATACTGACTTGTGATGTTCTTAGGTGGCGGTATCGTATTCGACTCTGACGAGTAAGTGATTGTCAGATCCATTACCCCAGGAAGCTGTAGACTGACCTGACGCCTAGATACGACGAGTGGTTGGAGACGATGAACAAGCTCGGCGCGAATATGCAATGCATAACAACGGCAGAGGAGCTTTATTACGACCAGCAGCAACAAGCGGCAGGCAAGTCGTAAGCAAGGTAGATGTAGAAAGCATGAAAAAAAAGTATCCCTATTTGAGCCATGGTTTAGAAGAAGGGAAAAAGATACCGATACCTTTTGGAGCATTCGACCACTCTCTCCATACCTTCCTTTGGACCCGTGAGGTCCTTCCTGGAGTGGTACTCCTAGACATGGGATTTAGAAACTGGTGGTAGAATACGCAAGGTGGAATATACAACGGACCACCCAACCAAGGCACCAGTGATTCAGCGCTTGCCTTGCCTCTATGTTCACTCGAGGTCGCTCTTTCGTCAACCAAGCCCAATCGATCCCCATGGTCGAGCGGTATAACGCCCTGGTCCGTTAGTAACGAACTTGGTATGAAATCTCGAGAAGTCTGTACACTCCAGTGCAGATGGAGGGTTTCGTAAGGTGGTCTAGTTCGAGTCTCGGACTAGGCACCTGAGCTTTTGTCTTTTTGACCTGTTTTTGGTTTTTTCTTCCTGCTGACGACCCCCTCTTTGTTAACTACGGTCGTCGTCATTCTATGATTACAGTGTAGATAAAAAGGGTCGGCTGGGCAGGGGTTTTGGAGCATAATACATTTCTCAACACTTCCGCTCCTGCCTATTCTACTTTGAGTACACATGTGGGACGAATTAGCGGTTATTCATGACAGTGTAGGTCATAAAGTTCCAGTATTAAAATCTTGATATTGTATTATACGATGTCGCAGATCCGCATATCTAATGCTTGAATCGCCGGGCACCCGCCCATTGTGCTTCCACACAAAAACTCCAGAAAAGACTGTCATGAACCCATGGTATAAGTGTAAGTGTACCTCTCAACGTAAATGCCTCCCGCCAATGAATCCATCCATTAAACCCTACTCAAAACAAATGATACGAGGGTATAAAAACCGACCCAACACCAACCCCAATCGTCGCCAACGAAGCCCACAACACCGCCCCCGCAACGACGCCGTCCTGCAGGATCCGGAGGTGCTTGTTCCGGCTCGCCCGGCTGCGCTCAAACACGCGCCGCCAAAGCCACCGGCGCTCGTACGCGGCAACCCACTCTTCACCCTTGAAGGACAGATAATTCTCCGCGCCGAGCGTCGAGAGCGCGGGTTTGCGGAGGGGGTCGACGGCGCCCGCGACGCTCTCGCTCGTCGCGGCGCGGCGGTGGGGGACCCTTTCCTTCTTGTTCTTGTACATGCCTGCACCGTTGCCCCGGCCGGCTTCTAGGTCCGGGACCTCCCACGGCCGAACGTGGCGTCTGCGCGCGAGGTGGAGGGATAGCGAGACGCCGTCGAGGGCCGCGACGAGGATCGCGAGGCCGAAGAAGAGTAGAGGTGTGGAGAGGAGGCGGTAGTACCGCGAAAATGAGGACAGGATGAGCGTGACGTCGAGGCCGAGGCCTAGGGTGAGCAGCAAGAGTCCGAGGAGGCGGAGGAGGTGCGTTGCGGCGCGGTTCGCGTTGGCCATGCTGTGGCGGATGAAGTCCGGGTGGAGTTTGCCGCGCAGGAGGGCCTCTGCTTTTTCAAAGGCCGGGAGGAGGGCCGAGGGGTGCGTTGTCGAGGACGTTGCTTTGAGAACGGCGGTGCGGTCGTCTTTTGTAAGGTTCAGGCGGCGCGGGGCGTCGGCGTGGATATAGTGTTTTGTTATGGCGTCGATGTCTGCGCGGAAGGGTTGTGATGATGCTGGTGCTGCAGGGAGAGATGTTAGCGAGTTTGGGTTTGGGTTTGGGTTTGTATAAGTGATGAGAACGAGATCCGGTGATATCTGATGGGACTAGCATGTCATGAAGCATTCGACTTGGTGGTCTTACCTTGCGGAACTGTCCCCTCTTCCACCTCTTCCTTTTCACCGTCTCTGAGACCAGTTGCTCTAGGGTGAGAGAAGTTTGTTGCCGAAGATGTGTTCCGCGTATGGTTCCCTCCCGCTTTTGCCTGGGCGTAGCTGCTGTCCTCGTCGAGCATCTCGAGAATGTTGCTCACTTTACTCGAGTTTTTGGCCCTCCTCTCCTTGGCAGTGAGCTTCCTGCCGCGGTCCGGATCCCAACGCGGCGCAAGAGCACGCTGCTCGGGCGCCAGAGTCGTCCACGAGTGGACGTAGCCGCAGTACCATAGGAAGAATTGCAGCGGTTCCGCGTCCTGCTCGACGTAGACGAGATAGTCCACAAAGTCGTTTAGTGAGCACGGCTGAAGACATCCGACCGTTAGTCAGAGTCATTCTTGAATTCCAGTCGTCCCCTTGGAATACACATGCGCTGGCAGGGAGATATCACTCACCGATTCCGTGTTATTCCTGATCACTTCTTCAAAGGCAAGTTGGGGCGGAATCCACTTGTCGGTCCGCTTTGCTCGGCGGCGGTAGCGCCGGCAGTCCTCGTCCATCACCGGCGGGCGCCATGGCCGCTCCGGACCGGGAGTCTGATAGAATCTGAGCGACATGTCTTCCCACTCTTTTACGCCGCTTGACTGTGTTGCTCACGGTCTTACAACTCGTGCGTGTGAATGGAACATGTAGACGTGAAATACGAGGTGGATGAGCCACAGGCTCAAGACTCGAGAAAGAAAGAAAACTTGGAGCTACGAAA